GAGTTTTATTTTATAGTAAATTGTAATTTCGCATAAATTTATTAATGATGATATATTTTAAATAGAGAAAATATGAAAATACAGCTAAATTATTAAATGCTTACAAAAATAACTTAACTAAATAATCAAATATGGATAAAATTAAATTGACAGAATGTCCAATATATATCAAAGGTTATTAGAGTTCAAACTCTATTGTAGGTTCTTAGATCACATCGAAAGATATGGTAACTTTGATAATACCTAAATGTAATTGGACGACGAATTCGTTGATTCGCTAGTGCAGTCTGCGTTGGAAGTGCCGGTCGAGCAGATGGCAGTCTCTGGAAACGTGCTGATCGCAAAGGCGGACCCTTTTGTGGTAAACTGTCTACATCTTGGTTATATTGGGCCGAAGCCAACGCAGTGACGCATGCCAACAACTGTAACGAGACATTTCTTTTAGCATACGTACGTTCGTAATTTAAAAATAAAATAAAGAAAATTATTTAGAGAAGGTTTTCGTTTACAATTTCTGATCACGTATAATTTTCTCTAGCCTATATCCTTCCAGGATATAAAATGGAAAAAATGAACCCTAACCAAAGTGAAGTAAAATATCCAAGACTAAATACAAAACTGAATAAAAGTGAATGGAATGAGGAAGGTCAATGGTTGAGGAAACTTAGAAGTAATAAAATCACGATGCATCAATTAATGCATAATATACTGAATCAATCTATGTCTCCTTCGATCTGGAGTATTATTACGGAAGCGTCCTTTATAAACATACCGAGTTTATGACATACACCAGTCATGATACAACAGGCTAAACCATGCGTTCTGCGTACGAACGTCCTTCCACGTATTTTTCCCTTCTCATCAGCTTCTTTCTCTTTCATTGTCGTCGCTTTGGTGACTTAAATGTCAAGCAAGATGTTACGTGTGCACCACACAAGGCGCATTATCCGTATGCCAGTATTATGCGTCGCGAGTTCTCGAAATCGAAACGCTTTCTCTTTTCTCGGGTTTCGTACGATGAATTTTGTGAGCAACGTGCAGTCTACGCTAATTATTAAGAGTATGTAGGTGCAGAAATGCGCTTAGAAACGTGTAAACTAGAATGCTGGACCGGTTCGAAACCAGTCCCTTGGAAACCTGTTATATCGAACGAATGTAAATGGAAAAACAAGAACAATCAAATTACGATCATGCCAATAAATGCCACATTTCGACGGTTCTTTGCTCGATCCCAACCCCTTCTAACGTGTTTTGAAGAGTTATGCTAACAGGCGTATTCCCTCGTGTAATTTCCGTTATATAAGGATATGAAATACCGGTCATATTAACGTAACTCTTGGCTCTGTAAGGATAATGTTGAATTATTTGAAGGCAAATAGCCGAGATAATGAGAATAAGTGAATTGGCAAGTATAATCGATAAAAGTGAAAGAAATTTTTATTTCTTTTATTTTTTTTTTATATTGGGAATAGTTTATTCGATATTTGCTAGATTATAGGTGTAATATGTAAGAATTTCTTCATTAAAATGCTGCTTTGGCTGATTTACGTGTTTAATGATTGCAGGAAGTAAGAGTGGTATGGAGGACAGTTTGTCTTGGAACCCTTATGAAAGTACAATAGGTGTCATAGTTTGGAAACTGTGTAGATTAGAGAAGTACAATACTTTGGTGACATTTTTTACTTATAAATTCATTTTGGAGAATCTAATTTTATTTTTCTAACACTGGAAGTTTTAATGATTCAACGTGTTTTTTAAATTGGTGGATAAAATGTAAAAGTGTTAGAGGTAAGAAAAGTTTTAACTTGAATGGTAATAAACGAACTGGATTTCATTTTTTCAGTGGTATTGAACTAGAGAATTGTGTTTACATTACTGCAGTACACCAAAAGTGTCGCAATCGTTAAATTATCCGACATGTTGCGAATTAATAAAATATTTAGAAAATTGCGAAAACGTCAGAGATTGTTAACATTTCACAAAAATTTCACAGTAGTTGAGAGCTAGCAGAATTCTGCGAAAACACGAAATTCTACAATTCCACAGAGTAATGAAACTGTACAGGTGTTTACTATACAGCCAGAAAGGTGCTTCTGAAATTAAAGCTATCACATTCTCTAAAAATTTAAGAATATCATAAACAATCATAGAATTATGGAAACTTTGCAAGCAATGAAATTGCTCGAAATTTGGATAACGTATCGTATCATTAAAACGATCGGAAGTTACTAAAATTTCTTAGGAAACTTTTTAACCTTCAGAGACCTTACGAGTCAATACGATTATATAGAAATCCAACCACATACGTACTACGTTACCAAACGAACACAGAAATCTCACTATCATCGGGAACTACTAAATTCTACGAATACCAAGCAACATATCTTATTCTAAAAGTCCTGCAGCCACTTAAGAGTCCTTTAAATTAGCGAATTCTCTTAGAATCCCTATAAATGTCGTTGTGAAAAAAGTGTCACGAAAGAGTAAAGGAAGTATACGTTGTGGCAATCGTGTTGGCGAAGTGGAGCCAGTATCGAGCTGGTAGGAATGCACCGGTCTCGCCAGAGAGGGAAAGACAGAAAGGAAGAAAAAGAGGGAAGGTAGAGACAGGCGAATCGAGCGGACGTGGATCCGTTTCTTACGGGATTGCACTTCGTTCCAACTGGTGGCACGCACCTAGATATTTCTAGGGAGTACACTACGAAAAATCTATTCGACTTTCTTGCTTGGCACTTTCACCCGGTTTGCTTGTGCGGCTAGCCTGTTAATTTTCGTCCCTCGTGGCCGAACATCGTTAAGAAATGCGTTCAAGATCTTGCTACAATTTCTCTCCCTCCAGTTTGCGTTTTCTTTCGCCGATACAACTCGCTCGTTCATTCACTCCCCCGTCCAACTACTTTCACTTTCTTCCTTTGAACGATCTGCCTTCTTTTTCCCTATTCGTCGTTCTCGATTTTTCGTTTTCGAATTTTCACGATCGACATTGCGTTTTGTATTGCGTAGTTAATTTACTTGGATATTCGAGAACTCGATTATAGGATGAGATATAAGCTCGAGTATGGCGTAAATAATTATTTGACTATTTTGAGTAACGTAAGCCTATTTTCCTGCTATTATGCAATCTACCAGGGATAATTGTAAAAAATGAAGAAAACGAGAAGTTATGGAGCAATTATGACAAATATGTCGGCTCGTGTTTCTTACGTAATATCTGCTGATTACAAAGCATAACCGGTCGAAACAGAAAGCTCCCCGACTCAAATGTACAAACGTGGACAGCTTGGTAGGGCTGATAGAAAGGAATGTCAAGTATAAAGGAAACTCTATATGTAAGTCAATACACTTTTTACACTTTGTCTAAAAACCTGTCTATCAACTTGGACTCTCTTGACACGCGCTATTTTTTTCCCACTCCCTCTGCCCTTCTCTATGTAAATATATTAGAATGGAATCATCTAAAATGTGGAATAAAACCTTTCCTTGGACTTTCAAAGAATGATCTTCATTGCTTTTCTCGTCTTTCTCTTCACGAATTTTAAATACGGAAGATAATTCTCTATTTTCCACCTAGAAATTCGTATTACATTTTCCAATTTTCATTTTCGAGTATCGAAAATAATTTTTATTTCTTTATTTAAGAATTTTAAACCTTTTACCTCTCTTCCAATTTTACAAATTACAAGTTCGTTCAACTTTGTGATTTAATACCTTCTAAAATATTCTACGATTTATAGATAGAATATAATTTCAGAATATATTAATTAACTTTCAATTTTCCTAGATTTTATATATCATTTTCTCACTCACAATCAGATACAGCTTTAACATATTCAAACTTCGCGCCTCGCGAGCGTCATTTCCAGGTCCGCGAAGAACGTAACAGGATGGAATGCGGGATCGCGTTCAAACTCGAACTTCTATTTCCAACCTTCCACTTTATCAATAGTGAAAGGACGCTTATGCATAGATCTCTTAATTCCATTACGGTCCATTGAATATCATGCCTTTGGCTATTACAAGTTTCCAACCCCTCCAAATTTGCATACAAGCTTCAAAACAGCCTCTCAACCTTCTCACTGTACCTCTCCTGATCTTGGTACAGAACAAACTCTTCTTGATTTATAAAAAGTGAAGAAACTTAAAGGAGGTAAGTAATGATAAACGAAGTAAAATATTATCTGACGATTCTAACCTCTTTACCATTACTTTCGCGATTTTTCCGCATAAACTAAACACGTTGTTTCATATTTTTAGGAAAACGATAAAGAGGGGGATTAAAGTCACTATTATAGGAGGTGATTATGAAAATAACATTAAGGGTTAAACTCGCAAAATGGCGGACGACTCACGGGGCAAAGCATCGGTGGACCTTTAATGGATATAAAAAAGGGAGGAAAAAAGAATAAATTTGACTACTCACGATCACCGCGACGCGCATGGCCGTGTCCCGTGTCCTGTGTCGCAATGGTGGTCACGCTGGGTGTGGTGTCGGCGCGTTTATGCCTCACACTACCGCGAACGACTCCCCGTCTCCGTGTTCTTATACCTATATCCCCGTTTAAATTCCTATGGTACGAGCAACACTGAATACGAGATCGCGAAACGATTCGGCACGCCACCGGTATACACAGTTCTTTAATTTGTCCCACCGGTAATATTATCGGTGTCCTGATGCTGGATGATCATTTTTCCTGTCTGGCGAACTTGAACCATTATTGACAATTAATCCGTTAATTAATCAGTAATGGGAAACTGGTTGTGCTTTTATATGGGTTTTATTAGGTAGTTTGATTTTGGCGTTGGGTCATTTTTGGTCTAATTACGTTAAATATGATGTAATATTAGTATCTTATATCATTATGATGTGTAATTATTAGTAGTATTAATTACGTGCATTTTAGTCCAGATATTGCTGATAATTTAATATTATTGATATATTGTTTGGGGCTAATAATATTGATGTTGTGTAAGTATTGATAATATTAGATTGAATAAGGTAACATGGTGTTTTATAATTACACACAACTATATGTAAACTATTTTAATGATAGTCTTTACTTTCTTGTTGTAACAATAATATTAGTATGGTAAAACGTTTTTAATATCAGTGTTATATATTTCTAGTAAAATTGATATTTATAAGTAGATAGATATATATATGGTAGATAGAATATTGTAATTTAAAGTAATTCGATGTAGCTAGTTATTATTGTTATCATTAGTATGACTATTTATGTTGCTCGATAGATGTATGAAAATTGATTCAATTACATGTTGCATTTAGGCCAATTACGAAATAGTTGCACTTATGAGTTATGTTTATAATTCATCTAACTCCCAAGTGTACCAGAAGAAATCGGGAAATAGGCGCAGTAACAAACTTAACTATTTGTCGAAGCAATGGCGTGTATTTAGTGAGAGTAGTCTTAATAATAGCTAAACTAGTAATAAACATATCATTAAAAATAAACATCGGTCTTATACATCGGTATATTAAAAGTTATCTAAGTATAACGTCTGTCTCATTTTTCTTTATTACTAAATTGGTTCACGTTTTCTTGAATCAGTAAAATAATACTTTAAACACTATTTATCTGCTGCTGTAATTTAAAAAATTTAACATTTAACGTAATTTATTCCTACTTCGTATTCTTCGTACTAAAAATTTATTTATTTTTTGTATTCATAGATCATAAATTTTAGATTTTCCAAAGTAAGGATAAATATCATCAGCAATAGTGTACGATGAAATAAACTTTTACGCTGTTCAAGCCACGTGACTTTTAATGTTATCCAATTCATGCGCATAATACATAACAATTAACACAAATGTGGAAAAAGAAAGTTTAGAATTCGGTTGATGTTGAGTGGTACAAAGACTACTCGCGCTTTCTTCAGTTAATGTCAGAGAATAATCGGTCTCATAGTTACCTAGAAGAACTTCTACGGGGAGATAGTGCTGGAGGCTCGGATTCAAGGTCAGTGTCGGGGCTAAAGCCAACTGCACTAATCCTCGTAATACGATGGCAATGTATATACAATATCCTGAGACGTTATGTAGCCGAGTATAATTTACTGTATATTGTACTTTCACGTGTGCGCGCGCGAGCGTTATGCAGGGTGTAACACCAGAACAAAAATGTATAACTAGATTTTTCTAGCAGGTATGAGTCAGAAATCATTTTACTCAGGAGCGTACATAATTTGGAGAACGCTGAAAGTAGAATTCATTTTTTATTTTATAAATTTGCATCTGGTTTCGTTTTTTATCTTTAATTTATTTCTATGCTATTTGATATTTTAAATAAACAATTACGATATTGTATCAATTATAATAATAATTATGTTCTTTGATTACAGAGGCAATTTTCTATATTATTCAGAGGTATATTAATTTACTCAGTATTAAATATTCTTTCTCGCGTCTGCTTTGAAATTCGATTAGAATATAAATGTGCGACAAAATATAATTGAAAAATGTAAAAATGTTATGCTATAAGTAGTACTGTTTGTTAATTAAAAAAGCCTGATGACATTATTTTGAATTATAAAATGAAATTCTAGATATCCTGTCTTAATAATTTTTTAAACAATTTTTTAAGGTTCTCTATCCTTTTGTAGAATTTTCTTATTCTGAAATATGAATTTCATAAAATCATTGAAGATACCTGGTTGATTTATTGCGAACATGCTGATATTTTCCTAGGCTGAGATCGCTGTGAGGAGACTATAGAACTCCGATTGAATTGAACGAGATTCAAAATGTCATTTTGATATTTTCCTAGAGCGTATTGTTAAAGTAACGATTCTTAAAATATTGATGAACTTGTAAATTATACACGCGCACTAAATGCAAATGTTACCAGAACATTCTCTACCATCTGAAACCAGTTTTCTCTTCGCGTCTTCTTCGTACCTCGTAATACGAAGCGTACTTCGTTTTCGCCATTCTTCCCTTTGGAATTTTCAAGGCAAACCGATATAATCCACCATCAATTTCAAATTATAACATTTTCAGCGTGATTCTGCAATACGTTTATAATATATTGTTCTTAAACATTAATGGTTTGTTTTGTTATTTATAGAAAATATCGCGTTACTCTGTTTATTCCGTCTATTATTGTTTTCCTTGCATCAAAAAGATCTTCGTTTTACATTCTCCAGTTAACTTGAATTACTTAGTAGACAAGACACCGTTCAACACTGCGTAAACTGAAAGAGGTCAAATATAAAATTCTTTTAAGTCGAGCTTCAATACCACTTTTTCAATAAAAAGACGAGGTCTTCTCTTGCTTAAAAGAATCAGGGAAAACTTCTCATTTAATAACAATTTCTATAGAAGTAGTCCTTTCTAAAAATCCCCCAAAATGTAATTCGAACAAATATAAAACACATTGAAAAGGTGAAAAACTGAACGACCTAAGAGTCTGTAAAAAATATATTTTTCCAGAGAATTGAAATAACTTAAATATTTTCTATCAGGGCAATTACAAATTCCCCTACTTGTTACTAATCTTTCCATTAGCTAGTTACTTTTCACTTGCCCCTCTCCAGATAACCCAAATTACAAGATAGGACTATCTCTCTGAACTCCACTAAAAAGTGAAGGAAACAGAAATCAGGCATGAATAACAATGCAACAATCACCAATTTGGATGATGCACATGTGTCAAATCAGGAGGTTCTATTTTGCCTTTTGCTATCGATTTACCCCGCGAGGAATGTCCAGCCGCCATTCAGTGAGGAATGCCGCGAGTTCGAACCCTTGAAGTCGAATCAGGTACGTTGGTCAGCAGGTCTGGGCAGAGGAAGAGAAGGAGAGAGGGATGAGAGAAAGAAACAGGTAGATAGGTAGATAGGTAGATAGGTAGGTAGGTAGGTAGGTGGGTAGGTAGGTAGGTGGTGCACCGGAGCAAGCGCTTTCGCGGGAGGCGAATACAGTGGAGGCAAGCGGAGTCGAACCGGCAAGCCAGACGGATCATTTTGTGGAGGCTGAAACCCCCATGAAACCGGTTCTTCCTTGCGCGCGCTTCTCTCCTCTTCTTTATTCCTTTTTTTCCCTGGCGACGTAGTCGCCGTGTAACCATCGGCTGGTACTACTGCGATGCATACTCGCGTGTTACACGAGTATGCCCACGGACACGCACGATCTTTGGAATATATGGTACGCGCGAAGGACACGTAACATTATTTCGACATCACTGGTCTTGAACTGTTTCCCTGCAATTTTCATTGGGATTCTTCAAGAAAACATTGTTTCGAACTCATTTGACAGCAATTTGCGAATTAATTGTTCCATTGGTTCTCCTTTTCTTCAGTGTTAGGAGTGCAGGTTAATCTTGGACAGTACAAGCTGGAAGATCGAATAAGATGGTAGAGATAAAATAAGTACAATGTATAGGGACAATGTTTTTTAATAGATTGTATCATAATTACCCAGGTAATTCACATTCATAACGTTGGTAACATTGCGAATAAAGAATTTTCTGCGGATATTTTTTTTGTTATTTTATATAGAAGAAACTTCATGAAAATTCCAGTTCATATAAATTTTATTTGCATGGTTTATTGTTTCATAGTAACGAGTAATGATTGTACGTATAAAGAACAATGTTCCTGCACCGAGCATTTTACAATTAATTGTCTGTGATTCCTGTAGCATAGGATATAGGACTGAGCAAACTGGATGCGACCAGTAACCATAGATGGCAGTTCGATGACTTAGAAAAGTCTGGGCGCTGTGGAATTACGATGCGTTTCATTCGTGCGTTTCGTAGTTTCGAGCACGGCGGTAGTACACTTTTTTTCGCCTGTATTGTCGCGACGTCGTCTGGCTTTATCTCGATTCGCCTCGCTCCGTTGTCTGTTTCATCACCTGTCACCCCCTCGAATCGCATAAGTAATGTAACCGACGTGTACGCAAGTGAATTTTAATGCATCGACTTAGAATTGTTAGGCTTCTATCGCAAACTTGCATCTCGAACCTTGTATTTTATGCATTAGCAAGGTTATCGCGAAAACGGTTCTCAAAAACATTCCACAGCTTTTGCCAAGTATTAGATCTTCCTTCGTAGAAAAATATTTTTCATAAATGCTTCTTATCATAACATTTTCAGATTTTCATTTTCATAGATACAGTTTAATAATCCATTAAAATACGTCAACTCAATTATTTTTATAATCGATGATAAAAATTGATCGATTTAAAAAAATTCAAATTCTTCATACAACTGCAAAACATAAAATTAGAGACATTAGTTTACCGATACAATCAAATTATTTCGAGAAAAATAAAATACCTCGAAGTAATCTTGTGCTTCATTCGATAATTCGAGAAACTCCATCTCATTTCGAATAAATCAAACTCCTCGATTCAAATAAATCGAAATCACTTTTATACGAGTACGATATTGAAAATTTTCCCTGTATAAAGTTTAGAATTAAAATCGTTTTGTAATTATCCATTTATCACTTTATTCGTTCAAAAGTTAACCTATAATTTCCATTATCGACTTATGTCTTGGAACGTATCGAAGCGACTTGAAGGAAAATTAATTTTTTTTTTGGTTCGGTTGAACAGTAAAAATCTTGGAAACTAACTTTTCTGTTACGAAGAAAATCGTCATCTTCAGTTTTCGAGCTAGCCGGCTCGGCAAACGCGACGATGGCAGCGTCATCAAGCTCCTCGTCGACCGACCGATTGAACGCGGGCCGCGATCGTGCCGATTCCTCTGATTGGCCGAGCGAGCCGGCGTTACTCACGGCGCAAGAAGACTCTTTGTCTGTTTTTCGTCCGGTCGACTAGCCGGCAACCGGCGGAGCGCAAGTTATACGTGCAGTCGGAGGTCCTTCAGTCGTCGCGCCGGCTGCAATTATTACGCTCGCCTTCGAATTCGATCTCAACCCGTTCGTATATACATCGCGATTTTTCCACCGGCTTCGTTATCGAGATACGCGCCGTCCACGAAACAGAGCCACGAAGCGTGTCGGCGAACCGATCGGGTGGTGTGCATTTAAAAAGTTTCGTCGTTAAACACGAATGGCGAGGATATCGGAGAAATGTCAACGATGGTTTAATTTATCGAAGGTAAGTCTTCTTAATACGGAGATCATGTTAAATATAGTAATTCGAGGTTATTTGTCGATAAAGGTACTCGAAGAACAAGCTCTTATCCTTTCGTTTGAAATTTTGACATTTCCTTGGCATTGTACGCGCATCTAGTAATTATACAATCTATGCTTTTCGTATTTTATGACTTAACGTATGTACAATCTTTTTTGTACCAAATGATCAGCGAATCACAGTAAAGATGAATAGAACATCGATGTTTTTCAGAAGTTTGTATAATATTCTTCTATTTGTTGTGTTTTTGCAAAAAAAGAACGTGAAAATATATGGAGGATATGACTAGTATTAGAACAAGTTACCCGGTATATAAAATGGTTGTATTCTACTGATGATCCCGACTTCCTTCGACGACCTTCAGTGTGGTATCGTTAAATCGTCGAAGAGCATTGGCCGCCACTGCTTCAAGCAGTGTGAGCAAATATTGTAGAAAAGCTATACTTTATTAAAAGATTAAGAAAAAAATATTAAAAAGGAACCAACGTGAAAAATAGTTTATTTATATCTGATAAAAATGTTATATGATTTTTAACGTAAAATATAAATTTTTAATGTGTAAAACTTTCATGTAAAGAGAGATAGCAAGTGAGAATCTGAAGAAACGAAGTTCCTTGAAATGCTAAACGTACGTACGAATGTTCGTATGAACGTATGTATGTGCTTCAGGCGCGGACACTGCTTCGGTCAAGGTCGTAGTCTGCAAGTTAATGCTCTTTTTACACGTTCTCTTTCTTCGGCTGTACACGGTGTCCCGAAAAAGAGGCAATTACTGTTTTCTTGTGCGAAACATATTTGAATAAATATTTATAAATAAACGTGATTATAATTGTAACAATGTATATTTTATATTTTTTTAAATTATATACAATTGTCAATATTTTTCACTGGTATAAATTTTCTACTAAATGTTTTTGTACTGAACGTAATATTTGTTGAAAGTAACTATTTATTACAATATTTATTTAGTCTTAATATTAAATTTTTTGAACGAAATACTGTGTCGAGGATTGGTAACTCCACCACCGTTGGCGGAATCTAATAGCCAATGGGGTACGAGTTTCCTTCCCTCGGCGCGAAAGGCAGCCATATAAAGATTATTTAAATTTTATTACAATGTTTCATCGGAAACAGTAATATGATAGTGTAAGTATTCGAGTAAGTATATTAATTTTAAAACAATTGCTTATTAAATATAACATGAAAATATGTTAGATTCAATTTGAAAGATATATTTATTTAAATAAAATGTTTACGGAATTTAGAAATCCCACTTGGAATTCTTTATTGATTAATATACTTAAGTATTCAATAACATTGATAAGTCATAAATTTATCGATGATTGTATTTCCTTTGTTTGCTAAACTTTAGAGTGTAGCGTCATCTATACATTAATGAAGAAATGTAATATCCGTTTCAATAAATATCTGTGTGGGTATATTACCATTTATGAACGAATATTGATAAAATATATTCATATATATTTATTACATATTATTGATCTTTTAAATTAATTTGTATATCGCGTAAAATTTATAGTAGTTTGATTATCTAGAAAATTCGTATGTTCTCGCAGACGCAACCAAATGTGGCGCTGCAAGCAGTGTACGTTTAGATCCATTTTGATTCCAGTGATTGAGCTTCAGTAGCAGCCAGTAGCGTCATAAGTTGCAGTAGGGTTGTCAGTAAATGTTCTGATTTGCTGTTATACACGTTCGACAGTATGAATTATGTTTTTGTGTTACTGTTTTTGTTCATTATAGTAATAGATACTGGATATTGCACGCAAAGAACTGTAAGTGACGCAATATATTCTTATTATTAGTTATTGAAAGGAATAATTTAATTTGATTAATTTAGTTATTTGGATCAGCATCTTTTTCGAATATAAAACAAAGGTCGAAATGTGATTCATCGTTTGATTGTTCTATCTTGCGGGCAGAGTCGATTTAGAAATTATTGTCATATCTCGGGTCATTGAATGACAATTCGATGGTAATTGGGAGCAGTGCGTTACTTAATGAGGAACATGAGTTCCCATAACCCATTTATTAATTAACGTGAGAACCCTAATAATCAAGCGATTAGCAATGATATAGCGTATGAAAATTTATGGATAAATTTACTTAAACAATGACATTCATATATATATAAAAAATAGAATCAAATTCTGTTATATTTTTTATAGAAATAAGAATTAAAAAAATATATTAATGTTATTTAATTGTATTGTAGTTAATATAAAATATGATTTATAGAGATTATAATTATAATAATATACTACTTAATTATCGAGTTGCAAACAATATATTTACATTTTTTTATATAAAAGAATTTGCCTGGCACTAGTTACGATCATGGCTGAATCATGACTGTGGCACGATATGTAGAGACAAAAATTTAACAACAGTTTACCTAAGAGCTGATGGAGCTAATGACACATTGCATTATCTATGGGATTTTGATGGTAATCCGTCTGTATTATTAGCGCTTACTTCACCGTCAGCTTCCATGAATATAAGTTGGGAAGATTTTCTTATGAAAAGAAAAAATTCCATAACATTTACAGAAGAACCTATTTATACATTTGGAGTAGTCTTTAATAAGGTCAGTATATAAAACTATAATACATATTATCTTTAAGAACGTTAATAATTAAAATGTTAACAACGTTAATATTATTTCTAGATTATAGAATTCAATGATATAAATGATACAGCTTTAATCGATATCACTAATATCGTAAATACAAATATTTTACATCCTATGTTTTATCAATGGGACCGTAAAACTTTAATACAAAATACTGAATTTGTTACATTGAACATGGAGGGTAATTATTACAATGACAGTACTATGAATGTCAGCAGACAAGGAAGTGTAAAACTTTCGGTAATGTTTTCTATTATATTAAGAATATACATAAAATTGATAATTTGTCATTTGATGTTTATTTATTTTTTAGTTGAGAGGATTTTGTTCTCTCGATCATTCAGAAGCTATGCCTCACATGTTACATACTGAAAACTCTACTCAAGTTGATATCATTCTTGATAATATACAAACTAATAAAAGCTTCACTAATAGCAGATTTGCTATTGAGTTGCTGGTTGTAGGTGAAGGAAATCCTGATATTCCTATGTTTATTAATCCAAAAAAGAGCTTAGATGATGAACATACACCTGGTATATTTGAGGTAATTTATTATGATTTGTTTCCATTAATTGATCTAAATAGATTACGAATTTTACTGTTAGTCTTATATTACTTTTATTTCAGGTTGTTGAAGTTAGAACACCACCATACAAAAGCATGGAAAATTATCAAACAGAAGGAGCTTATTTGCAATGGAAACCAATATCTTACGGAGATGCATCTCGTGATGTATCAAGTACTATAGAAACAATACAATATCCACCATTGAAAGTGACTAATCATACAAGTGCTATTGTAAATTCTATGTTGTACAGTTATTACGGAGACAAGGTTAATGATTTACTTACACAAAGAATTATTGTATCATTTGGAACAAAGGGAGATGGTTTCTACAAAAAAACGTATTATTCTACATGGTAATATTGTTTTAATAAATATTCTTATTTTCATTTTATTATATTTTTGCACGTGAAAAAGTAATATTAATATTCTTTTCAGGACATTCTTAATTGGATATGGTACACCACCTAATGAGAAATTTTCCCAGTTGGTAATCATGATCATTTCGATTGGTGTTGGCCTTCCGTTAATTATCCTAGTAGCAATCGGCACATATCTTTGTATCCGCAAGTTATCAAAACGAAATAGCGAAGCATATTTAAGTCAGTGAAGATGTTTAGAGACCATATAAATTTTTAATTGCGTGATATTTGATAGATATTTGTGCACGTTTAGTTGCATCACGACATACCACCGTTAAATTATACAAAGAGATTTTTCTATACTTATACGTAGCACATATATTTTTTACACGTATTTTCAAATTGATATAAAAGAATCAATTTGAAGTATATATTAATGCAATGCATACAAATTGTTCTGTACAAATTTATACATAGGTCATTAATAAACTACAAAAAAAAATTCCGAGAATTATTTTTTAAACCAGAAACATGTAAAATTTAATCTGTTTACTCTCCTATGTTATTTGATAATATTTCTACTTTATAAAGAATTAATATAAATTTTTGAATAGAAGAAATATTTAAAATGTGAAACACAGAATCGAATAAAAGGAAACGTAAAAGAATACGGAAAAATAGAGTCCTTGATTGTATAGTAGTGCAAGGATGAAAATCAGCAAGGTGTCACAATGGCGACGAGCGGCGGGCTGACAGTGAGATCGCAGCACAATCGCCGGCCAATAGTTTCTTAAGGAAAGTCTTACGGGTGAGCTTGCAGAGACGGTCGGCTATTCCGAAAGGCGGTAGACGAATGTTTTTAGGCGAAGATAGTAAGGGTGGCGCGGTGTGGTACCGTGTTTCTCGCTATCACGGGGGTGGCGGATGAGGTGCTGTTAGTGGAAGAGTACATTTTCATTGATCCATTCGTGGTACGGAAGCAAGGGGCGTACGAATTTACGAATCCTAACCGTGATATCGACCTTGTGCTGTCTTATTTCAAATCAAAGTTACAATCGAAGAAATTTTCTCTTTCGATCCGTTCCTACCATGGATTGCGTTCACACGAGCCCACTGTCACAAGCTCCGCCGTCATGGAGGAGGAGTGAGCGGAAAGCTGAGAAACAGGTTCGATGAAAGGTTCATAGAGAAGAAGCGTATACCGCAATTGTCATTCGGTGAGTACGGATTTGTAGTTGCGACAGTCTCTCGCGCAGGTTAGTCGAGCGTGGTGGGTGGTCAGACAGGGGGGTGGTTCACGTAGCGGGTTGCGAATGGTGCGGGTATATAGTGGGGCGCCTCGAAACTAGTTCCCGTGGAGTCCGCTGCGCGAGATTGGCGCGTGGCGGTGCAATAACGTCCGCGTCGGGTTTGTCTAATCGTGACACAGTCCTCGAGAGAAGCTTTTCAGCTAGTAAAAAGTGTGCGCAAGACACGGAGTGCTCTAAGAGACTCAGACTCAGTGTCAACGGAGGACTTGTGAACGATAGTGAATTTTCTTGGCCAGGTTAGCTGGATAAAAGCAAGGGGCGAGAGCAGGAACGCGGACGAAGAAAACGACGACAAACGGGGGAGAGTGTGCTAGTGGCGACTAAGTGAGCGAGATAGAGTCCATAGAGAGAAAGAGAGAAACAGAAAAGGGAGGGGGGGGTTTACTAGGGTGAAGAAAGAGTGAGAAAGTGCTGGGTGGGAGGTATATAGTGATAGAGGGAAACAGGAACGAGAAGGAGAGCAAGAGAGAAAGAGAGGGAGGGGTAACGTCAGAGACAGGCAGACGGGTATTAGAAAGAGAGAGAGAGCGGGAGAGAGAGAGAGAAGGCGCGCGCGCGCGTCTATGTGCCAGAAGGAACTGACAGACAAAGGAAGTGGAAAGGACCCGGTCGGTCCTTCGGTCAGGAAAGTTAAGGGTACGAAGGACGGCAGGAAGGCAGGAAAGACGGAAGGATCGTAGTCAGACGAAGCTGCGTTAGGGGGTGACAGCGATACGAGTGGTAGAACGCGTCGGGTCTGTCCCCCAGGAAGGGACCGTCGCGCGCAACGCGATCAATTTTCGTTGCGACGCGGGCGGCGAGACTGGAGGAAAGGAAGAAATGACGACTGCAGCGAGATACCGATAACCGGCCAGATAATGTTGTCGCAGAGCAAGTTTTACGCTCTCTTTATCCACTACACGTTTGTGTAGCGCGACACGGGGCGGGTCCTTGCCGCTGCGGTGAAGAACAGTGGTGTCGGAAGAGGAGGTGGAGGTGCGAGTAGAATAAAGGATACAAAGAAGAAGAAGAAGAAGCGGAAGAACGGAAAATAGAGAGAGAATCGGGAACGAAGAAATTCGTTGGAATTGCAGAAAAGTTGAGAGGATAGCTGAGAAACTAGGATACGCTTCGTAGTGTCGTTGTCGTCTGTATCCATCGTGACAAGAAACAGGAACGAGAAAAGAAGAGAGGAAGGAAAGGGAGAAAAACAAGAAAGTAAAAGAAAGAAAGAGACACACACAACACACACGCACGCGTACAGAAAAGACAGAAAAGTTTGTCGTCGTACGGTGTGTTCAGTTTACAGTGTCGTTGCTTGGTAGTGTGCTACCCTTGCCGAAGCTGAACAAGCAAGGCCCGCGGAGGTATCTCAGAACCCGCCCCTCCTCGACGTCGCAGTGCCTCTTCTCCATATCGCTACGTCGTGCTTCTTTTCTTTCAAGTCGCGACTATCCCTGCGCTACCGGAGAAACTCCTCGACCGTAAGTGACAAAATTTCAAACTGTTTTAATATTCGTTTATCTCGGGTACGATTTCTTCCTGTGAATCCGAATCGACCTAAATTTTCCTTTCGTTCGATAAGAATCGGCTATTACTACGATTCACGTGAGTGGATAAGTTGGACAGGGTAAACAGCGTGTAAAGTATTTCGTTGAATTTACCACTTGGAGACCGCGTGTGTTTCCCTGGAGGAGGCGCTAATGGCGCTACCGTGCAGCCTGACCACACAACGAATAATCGTTGTCGCAACATCCTTTCTATGTATCTATCATTTTTCTATGCCTTAATCGCCAATCAAATTTTTCCATCTTTCGCACCCTCATGTCCTACTCCGTGACGTAAAAAGTACGTTCGTTTCTCGTTCTATGAAATTCCCTTTCTCCCGTTTATTCTATATACATGTATAATCAATTACCGTGACCACCGTAGTTTCGGTTAGGTTGGACACGATAGTCAAATCGAATTGTAAGGTGACACATACATATACAGTGGCACACAGTCACAAAGTCACGCACACACAAATGACATATATCTACGTATAGCGTGACGCGCGACTGCTGTTCCATTCTCGATATATCGATCGATAGCCACCTCGGTCAGGGATCAGTCAGGGGTTCACTCTCGCGATGACGATAAGCGCTTGCTCTTCTTCTTTGCTCTCTCTTCTCGAGATTAGTCGCACGTGAAATAGCTGCGGCTGCCTTTGTGTTCGTGGCGACGAAGGTCGTACTTGCCGGCGCGCACACTACATACCGGTTATATCGTGTTCCTTCACTCCCGTGTATGCTTGCCCTGTGTTCTTATGTGTCTCGTGATGACCTTCCTCCGCGCGAAAATTGCCGGTCAATACGACGTGCACGATCCGCTTAAGAGTCGTGCGATGGTATCGATCACCGTCTCGTGCACGACCACCAGGCTCACTGGGACTTTCCTCGACGTAAAGGAAACGCGTGAATTGTGCCCACTTCAGATGTCGGTCCTTCGAGAATGATTAAGTTTGTGTTTGGCGAGTCCTAGATCAGCGAACATAACCTAACTTCCGATAGAAGATGGAAACGTTGCTCATGCACGCTGAGTATGTTATTAGTATATTTTACTTTTGTTTGTACTACCAAATATGCAGTTTTGAACGAATTTACGGATACGTAGTGGAGTATATTAGAATTTGCGTAAAATTTATAGGTTATCTTTACGTTAGATGGTTAGTTCTTGTTGGGTTATGAATATATACGTGTAATATATAAAATCGAATGTAATACACGTGAATGATATATTTGCATCGTTTAAAATTTGATGAACTATTTAGTTTAATAAATAAAAGATCGATAGTATAGCCGTGTAATGTCAAAGGTCGTATCAAAGCTACATTGTCTGTGGCTAAAAGGAAGCGTATTTTCCCGTCCGTTCGTCGTGCGAGAAAAGCGTGACGTCAAAGTCGATTTCTTCGACTTAAATGTTCCTCCTGCGCTCTCGAAACCTTTTGCCTTCTCTTCTGCCCGTGATATTTCGATTCATTAATGCAATTCCCGTAAAAGCGTTACTTGTTGGCATTTGGCATGCAACAGTTTCTCGATTCAGTCATTTGCTTATTTCCATAAACTCATTACATAATAGAATCTCGTGTAGAATTTCCTTATCTCTGGGAAAGATTTACAATTTCGAGATATGTAATTTTCGAGAGGTATGTAATTTAGGGAATTGTTAATAGTAAAAAATGGTGGATATAAGGTATATATTTTACGAGAAATACTATTTTCGAATTTACAATTCTTTATGATAACAATTTTAAAACATGCAATTTTCTAGGGTTTAGGGTCAATTGCATTTCGAGGTTTGTAGTACTGGAATTAATAATTTTGGGCTATTTTAATTTCGAAATTTAGTATTTTTGAATGTACGAATATCAGAAATTATCAGTTTACAATTTATTATTTTCAAGAGGTAACCTGCAATTTTTTAATTTTAAATAATTTCGGGCTTCAAAATTCAGATTTCTAATTACCAAATCTTTAATCGAAATAACAATTTTAGAATTGTCGTTTCTTAAAATTTCCGTCCAATAGAGTTCATTATCCTCATATCCGCGATTAAAGAATTTCCAATTTCCCCCAGCAGCAATGTTGAATCTGCAGGAATTGTAACCGGAGGGTTTGCATAGAAATGCTTTGATGCAACGCACAAAGCGATCTTTGTCACAGTCGCGTTCGTGGTAGGGGAAGCATTTAGAATAGTGGGTTCAGAGGTAACCTCTTTCGACGGTGATCCGTATCTCTCTGATTCCGAATGCGCCATGATAAGCAACGGCGCTACAAAAGTGTGCGCGCGCAGTAGCTACGGTGAGGCTAAAAGGAGGGAGATTTTGCAGGGCAAACGTTGAGCGAGCAAATGCAACAGGTGCGATATGTGTCGCACGACGTTCTAAGCAGAAGCGCACCAGAAACCAGCTATGCGTGTTAGTCTGTGGAGTTTATGATATGGATATTAAGGCATTTCTAGGGGATTTCTGAGCTTACCTTATCTACGTTCCTGTTTAATTATCCGTGGAAGTAGTACCATGATGAATGGAAATTGGCCCTCTGTTATTTAACACAGTTGGAAACGAGCCCAATAGCGTATCGAATAAAACTAATAAATGCGAGTAATCAGCAAAACTAGCGATTCCAGTGTCTCCTAGTTATTTTTCATACTTTTAGTAACATTGTTAATACTTTCATCCTTCTAGTAACTCTCTAGCACTTCAAACTTATTTTCTATATATTTTATTTATCTTCTAAAAACATTCTCCATCATTTTTTAATCATTCTTCTAATTATTTCAATTTCTAAGAAATAAATAGAAAATATCGAAAATTATAATATTACCAATATTAAAGTAGCTAATCGATATTGCATTGAAATTAAATTTTAATATCAAAATTGCAGACGGATAATTAAATAATATCTTTCGGATATGGAAATTCAGTTTAATGGTATTATCGATTTATTCCCATTCTAAATTGTAACTACCTGGAAAAAAAGTCTCGCAATTTGCTATCGTTGAATCGAAAATTTATCTTCCTCCACTTCTATAATAAGAAAAATGATAACTTGCTTCGCTTTTTCGGTCGATCTAATATTAGACCGAACACAAAGGGGGCAAATCGTCCAGGAAGGGACTCGCAGACTTCCTCCAAGGGGGAAGATATTGAAGTATAGAGAAAATGATGCAGGGTTCAAGGTTCTATCGATTGATGAAGAACACTTGATCGAGATCGCATCTCGCCGTAGGCTGGTGTACCGAGGTATAACAGCAAGCGAAAACCGTAGGAGAAGTCAGGCGTTAGGCAAGCAGGCAGGCAGGCAAACGGGCAATCGATCGATTGTCCTCGCAAGAACGCATGGCCCTGTTCTGCACCATACTTTAGCTTCAGATATACTTTGTCTTTTGTGGGTCGTGTCAGTGCAGCTGATGCCGTGAGAGCAACAATTTGTATTATGTACTTAATACTTTTGTTAGTATCGTGACACGGTTTATATGCTTTCGAATAATCTAGTACACGTCGATGAAGTACGAAACACCGATTTTCGAGTATATCTTCGTTTCCATCAATTTTTTAAATTTTACGCCAAGATAATTTGCAATCAGTAATTTCGTTAGTTCGATTATAGCTTAAGTTTTAATTAAGTCTCTATTAATTTTGCGTAATCGAGCTTTCCCTTAATTTTTATAACGGACTACGTGGTATCGAAAAGTTGCTTCTAGAAATTTGTTTAATTCCAGCGAAAAAGTTGGTTATAATGCACGCGTATGTATGTTAATGATTATCGATTCCAGTTTCTAATATGACTATCCGAGTGATAGCAATCTTTTGGATGTCACGCTAAAACAGCAGGCGCACCCAACATTTATCGCTATTATGTCGTCCTCCATTGGCGGCGCAAAGTAACTTTCTACTACTGCCTCGTACTTCTTCCACTGCCCGCAACTCGTTCTTTGTAGCTTTTGAAGCAACAACAAGTGACTTTATACAATAATATTCATTACAACCCTGTGATATAAAAACAATACAAATGTTCCCTTTTAATCACACTCAAATTTTTATTTTTTTCTCTAACTGTCCTACATTGTTTACCACAGTTCTAAAGAGTTCATAAAATAAAAAGAAAGTTACATTTCAATTACAATTTTCATTCTCTGTGCTCCAATTTTAATGTGCTAATTATAATTATATTTAATATATTTATAATCAATAGTATATTAAATAGTATGATCAATAGTATATTTAATGTCATACATGAATATTATGCTTGGAATCGTAGCATTTACGAATTCCAAATTTCCTAACCTAACAATTTAAAAGCATCGTTATCTCTGTCTGGCAGAAGTTACAATTACGAGCGTATTTTCCGATCCAGTCCGTATTCACGGTGTATTATTAGCAATTTCTTTCAATTCCCCTCGGTATCGTTTTCAATCCATACCGAACGACCTACATACCCCGCGACTTCCGACTCATCCGAGCGTCCAGTCGCGGGAGTTTCCGTCTCGAAGGAGAACGATATTCGCGGAAAGAGGGATTAAGAAAAATCGAATAACACGTCGCGACGGAAAAACAGATCGTTCCTCAGCCTTCGCCCGCTGTTTTTGCCGTTTCCAATCCTTGGCATTGGTGAATGTGGCTTGAGGGAATCGCGGGATGGTGGTGGTAACGACGGTGCGGCGACGGTAGCGTCAGCACTCGTCGTCATGACAACGTTTTTCCGCAACGTACCCGGCCTGGTTCGTGACGTCACGCAACGTCGGCATCGGTGTCGGCGTCGGGTCGCTGCTGTGCCACACCACAGCGTGGAGAAAAGGGTTTTCCGTCGTCGTTGCCTTTCGGTGGCGCCACTGTGCCCTCCGCCGCGCTCCATCAAGATGGCAGCCGTGCAATTACAGGGAATGCAGTGGTCGCCACGAATGCACGATATCTATTGTTTCACGCGCGGAACAACGTTTACAGATTATCTTTCTATGTCGTACCTATAGCCACGACAAGTTGGCTGTTCCAACGCACAAGGGATGTACAAAAGCGGGGTTAGAATCGACTTTTAGAACACGGTCGGGATTTACAGGGAGGTCTGCCATGATTTCAGCAGCAGTCATGCCAGCATCGAAGTAGATCATGCATTCGTTTCGGACCACTATATGCATTGGGACTGCTTATTGATCCGCGATTCGAGCATTCAAAAAGCACCGTTTGGAACGAGCTTTCTCTCGACGTTTGTGTGTAACGTTCGATTGTCCATGGAATGGTTTTTATCTAGAGAATAATTGGTTAATGCGAATTTTACGGTATAGAATTTCATCGCGTATGTTTCCGTATCGTGCACGTTGTAATGCGATATTTTTCGACATTATTTCGAACGGAGTATAGTATTTCGATTTAATATAACGTTTCCAATGATATTCTTATAAATTGCGATTCTAAAGCGTCCTTGCAAATTCATGCTCCACACACACACACACATGCACACATTCGTACACATATATACATACGTACATACAAAATACCGAGTGTTTAGACTCTTTAACAGGGAGCTCTTGTAACGTCGAATGCTTTTGTTGATTTCTCGATGAAGGCTGATTTACCGTAGACATACCTGACCCCGTTTCTCTCTAGCCTGCGTGTTGGCAGAGTGCCGTTTTTATTGTAGTCATATATCCGCAGGATAAAAGCTGCAATAGGCAATTAAATTGAGCTTCATCGCATTCCATATCGTCGGATTATGTATCTCTTTCCATAATGTTTATTGCACTTTTCACGGCATATCCAGCTCCAATAATATCCCTTCCTTCCTTTAGACAATCCCCTCAGCTACGAAAGACCAACGAATTACACCGTATCTTACTTTCTGTGCATAAATACCAATCGTCCTTAAATCCAGCCTTTCCCTAAGTGCACAAAAAATTCGACCGATGGCGCAATTAGCGAGATCGAATTAGAGGCGAGTCTCCTTCCTTCTATATCGTTAGTTCGTGACCGTCCTTAAATTAACTCGGGCGTCTTCGTCCTTCTTCGGCTGGCCACTAGGCCGGCCCGATCCTGCGTATACCCGTTCCACTGGCAATCAACCGTTCACTCTTACTTTTCCTGCTTTGCGTATGGGCGCGCGCGCCCGCCGTTGGCGCCGCGACGACGACACCGATGCATAAGCGCGTGACCGAGTTCCGGCGGAATATGATCGACCGCACGAAACTCGGTCAAAGACCACCGACACCCTTCTTCGAGCCGCCTCTATATCGCATGCTCCGTGTAAATTTTTGTTGTCGTGAATATGCGTGAACACGCCGCACTCTTTCACGAACGACAAAACTCGAGTGGCCGCTCGCTGCCAAAATATATTCCGCCCAGAAAAACGTCCCGTATATAATATATATCACGATACTTAAGGGTGGTTTACGTTCTTTGTTCCGATGTCTTTTTTCCTCGCTTTTT